GCCATAATGCAAGGGCATCTGGACACAATTTGAACATGACAATTTTCTAGTCAACTACTTAGTAATCATGCAGTGAGTTCAGTGTCCTTGTATGGCCACTGACAACGAATGATCTTTAAAGATGCATGTGTGTTCTCACTCTAAATTTAGTGGATTCTCAGAAGTTTGAGAGTAGTAGAATAGAATAGAATAGAACAGAACAGAATAGAATAGAATAGAATAGAATAGAATAGTTTATCTATCTATCTATCTATCTATCTATCTATCAATCTGTATGTCTGTATGTCTATCTGTCTCTATTTGGATATTTGTGCATGGAAACAGCAACCCTTTTGTTTTCCTCACTATCTTGATGGGCCTTTATTGTCTGTGAAAGCTGTAGAAGTACTTCTGAGGATGATGCAAGGTATTACAAGTGAATTTGTTTTCTCAGCTGTGTTCATTTATGATCCATAATTTCTCTGGCACTGTAAAGAAGAATGGTTTAGTGTCTTGCATTCAGCTCGGTCCTGCAGCATTTCTTTAATGCTATGAAATGAAATGAATGCAAGCAATGACAATGAAACACTGGATCAACCTCATTGAGCAGCCAAGCAACTGCCTAGCAGGCATCACTTTAAATCTCTCATCATACTGTCCAATACTAACTAAACCAGGCTTATAACCTTCAATCTTCAAAGCTGCTGAAGTTCCATACTGCTGTAATCTTCTAGTCCAGGTTTTGTCCAGCCAAAATGTAAAAAAAAAAACTTTATATGTCTTGTACAGTATTTTTTAAGAGTGTCAGTATAAGCAATTACTTTGTTTTTTGAGAGTACAACACATTATCCAGCACTAATGATCTGTTGAGTTAACATTTTATGTCTATATACCGTATACAAGAAATGTAGCTAAGGTACATACATCTAAAGGTAGACATGTGTTTTCCAGATTTCTTGTATGTACTGCAATTATTTGCTGCAACATCACATTTCTGAAGGAGACAAGAGAAATATCGTTTTATGAATCTCTTTCTCTCCATCCTTTTTGTGATAGAACAGGTTATTCATTTATTTAATAGCTATTCTTGTCTTGGTTGTGCTTGTGTTTGAATGGGGAATAAAAGATTTAGTTCTCTACAGACATGTTTGCCTGCTAAACTAATAATACTCGATGCTAAACAGTCTGTTTCAAGAGCACTCCTGGTGATGATTGAGAAATCAGAACTGTGTTGCATTTATCGTGTGGTCTGGAGATCTGTGGTGGTGAAGGAATAAATATTATGGGAAGTGACTCTCAAAGGTTTTCTATGCCTTCAAATTCAGGCCAGTGACTCAGTAACCACATATGCATTTGATGATATCTTATTAAAATATAATCGCTTAAGAATAGCTCTTTGTAAACACAATTAATGGCCCAGATGTTTGACCTTAAAAATTTGTTTTTCAGGTTAACTAAAATCTAACATTTTTACTCAGTAGATGTTTTTTTCTTTCTTTCTTACATATAAACATTCTGTATGATGATACTGATGTGACATATATGCAAAGAAAATGTAAAAGGCTTAATTTATGATTCATATAATTAATTATAATAATATAAATAGAAAATTATTATAAAATTATATATTTTTTCGATGTGTCCTGGAGATTCTCCGAGATGATCAACAGAAAGTGGCTGGTTTTAAAGTGACTTCTGTGTGAGCTGTGCTTCATACATTACTACACTATTGATAGCTACATAATTGCGAAAAAGGTAATTGCGACATTTTATCTCACAATTCTGACAATAGAGATAAAAATGCAGAATTGCAAGATGTTTATAACGTCTCGGTTACGTATGGTAACCCTCGTTCCCTGAAGGAGGGAATGGAGACGTCACGTCGGATGACTGACGAATTGGGGATTTCGCTTAGAGAGACCAATCTACTTCGAGTGTAAACTAAACGAGCCAATGCACATTGGCATGCGATTATTGCATCCAGCTGCTGCTGATCACAGCATGAGTATAAGTAGGCAGCAGATGCAGTGCATATTCAGGTTTTCGCTGAGGAGCCAAGCCGGTGACCCGGCCGCTCAGCGGTGGTACAGGAGCTGTGGCGACGGGACGTGACGTCTCCGTTCCCTCCTTCAGGGAACGAGGGGTACCATATGTAACCGAGACATTCCCTTTCAGTCGGTCACTCTCGACGTCACGTCGGATGACCGGCGAATTGGGATCCCTACCACAAGGCCAGATACTGCCACTTCCAGTGTCCTGTGGGAGCCTCCTGTGCCCCTACTTTTTGGCGCAGGGCAGGGCTTACCACAAGAGGACCAGCTACTGCTGCTATGGCACTACCCACTCAGTAAGACTGGATAACACTGGGAAAACGTACCCGTTCCATTTGGGACCGGGACGTTGCGGAAGCTCCATCCTTCCCTAAGGAGGTTTCGGAAGCAAATACACACATGAACATTCCATAGGTGCATATGGAAGATTGGAGGTGATTGTAACCCTCTTGGAATGGCAGAAGTCTGCCGGGGAAACATGGGCTCAAGGCTATACCGTGGACTTTACACATATCGCCCCCCTAAGGAACCTGATGACCAGATCATGCTTCCCTACCGACTTCCCTTCCACGGGGTCATGGTTAGCAGCAATCGCAGCGACATAGACTTTAAGGGGGAGGGAGACAGCCTTTGCTCCAACCCTTGCTGCAAAAAGGAAAGCATGACCCTGATCGGGCATCTGAAGAACACCACTCAACGAACAGGTTCCACTTCAAAGCGTAAGCATGTCTTGTAGACGGTGCTCTCGCTGAAGTAATGGTGTCAACTACCCCTTGGGGCAGGTCACCTAGAACCTCCACGTCCCGTCCAGAGACCAGACAT